GTGGTTCTTTCCCATGTTCGATGATGCCGTGCATCCCCAGGCAACACAATACACCATCGTACCATTTCAAAAACCCGACAGAAACAACACGATTTGTACTACTGTAGCGTTTGGTCTTTGGCAATATGGCGGACTCCAGGCACATTTGACGTCACGAGTGGAAAGGTCACGTGGGTTCCAGCAAAATATGCATATGGCCGAAGCTGAGATTTACAGAAACTGTATTTGCGATTAAAACATAATTTTAATTGAAACTTTGGGAATATGTTCTGATGACTTTATCTTTCACCCAGCAAATTATTGCAATTCACTCGTATTCTCCTTTAAATGAGTGAGTGAATATGGCTACAGCATCATGCAGATGAGAAAACCAGTTCACGAATATCTCCACTAATATATAATACTACAAAAGCCACAATAAATTCGAACAAACCTGTAGAGGTTGCTAATTCTTTGATGAGAGATCCTCCTTTGGGTACATATAAGCATTAAAATGTCCATTTTTAATCCCTACGACAATTGTAACTATATTTTGAATAAAATATGTACAAAACAAAAACGTGTTTGTCTTGTTCTACCACCCCTATGGAACCCAGAACGGACCCGTCTGCCAAGAACAGGTAACTCTAGGTGCCTACCTCGTACCTCACTTTCCATGCTGAACACATCAGACAGAATGTGGGGAGGTGGGTAGCCGTACCCCAAGGAGGACTCTCAACAAAGAATCAGCAACCTCTACAGGTTTGTTTGATTCTTTTTCATGAGAGATCCTCCTTGGGGTACATATAAGCATAAGACAGACTCCTAAAGACAAGAGCCCTGGGAGTGGCATTCTGTCTGATAAACTACGCCCCCGACAAGTGGAATTTCCAACTATAAAATGAAAAAGGAACAGCTCACTTACCTGGCCACGTGACCTGTTCAGCCAATCAGGCGAGGGTGTGGTCCAGGGTCAGGGGTTATATATTCTGCTCATATGCAAATGAAGCAGTGAACTACGCATGTAGTAAACAATAGTGCCCCACCCACATCCCGAGTTTCATAAATACCTAGGGAGGGAGAGACATAAAATCCCATGAAACCACAGCCAACTAGATTTCTAAGGAATAATGTGCAATATTGTCATAAGGTGAGAACAAACCATCACCATAAAAACACAACACCAAGTAAGGGTAAAAGGGAAGGAAAGTTGACCGCAAACCTGCCATCAGTAAAATACAGATAAAATTGTAAATCTGACATCGGCTAGAGCGTTACGACTCTGCCCACTGGTGAGAACTGACTGACTGAACTTGTTTTTTGTTTTGTAAATATTTTATTCAAAATATAGTTACAACTGTTGTAGGGATTAAAAATGGATATTTTAACGCTTATATGTACCCCAAGGAGGATCTCTCATGAAAAAGAATTTTCAATTCAACAGACTTTATTATGACCAACCCTGACAGTGATAACTGAAAAGCTTTAGATTTAGTTTGAAATATTTAATTGAAAAGATTTAGTTTGCTGTGGTACATGTGGAATGCACAAGTTATCATTCTGCACTTGATTATTGAGGCAGAATGGTGTGTCAGGTAACATTGCTGCCATCCAGATGAATGGTGTCTCACTTGAACACATACTATACTGGAGATTGGTCCAGGGTATTAATCGTGACTGAATAGATTACCCTGGATTCATGAGGATGTCACAATTGCACCGGTATTTCTTAACTTCACCTAACAACACAAACATAGACTGTTTCTGTACATGCTGTTACCATGTCCTAAACCTGATAAATCAGATGTTTCATTCAGGATACAGTAGTTATTGATGAATGCACATTGTGCACAAGGATGTTGACTTGTGAACACAGATTCTGCCTGGCAACCACCTGTCGGAGGATGAATAATTGTATGTTCCTTGTATGTTATGTGTTGTGTGACAGTCTCCTTGACTGATCACGACAAGATAGAGACTGGTCTGATAACCACCTTGATAACTCACTACACCAGGATAACTGTTTCGAAACAATTCAGATGAGCGAGTGACTATATATAGCAACAGAGTGAAATCTTATCAAATAAAAGGAGGGGGAGTGAGCGATTGTGTGAACAGATGAATGCTAATGTCTGCTACAGGCACTGCCTCCATGCTGGCATCCATAATGTCTGCTACAGGCACTGCCTCCATGCTGGCATCCATAATGTCTGCTACAGGCACTGCCTCCATGCTGGCATCCATAATGTCTGCTACAGGCACTGCCTCCATGCTGGCATCCATAATGTCTGCTACAGGCACTGCCTCCATGCTGGCATCCATAATGTCTGCTGCTACAGGCACTGGCATCCATAATGCCTCCATGCCTCCATGCTGGCATCCATAATGTCTGCTACAGGCACTGCCTCCATGCTGGCATCCATAATGCACTGCTACATGCTGCCTCCATGCTGGCATCCATAATGTCTGCTACAGGCACTGCCTCCATGCTGGCACTGCCTCCATGCTGGCATCCATAATGTCTGCTACAGGCACTGCCTCCATGCTGCTACAGGCACTGCACTGCCTCCATGCTGGCATCCATAATGTCTGCTACAGGCACTGCCTCCATGCTGGCATCCATAATGTCTGCTACAGGCACTGCCTCCATGCTGGCATCCATAATGTCTGCTACAGGCACTGCCTCCATGCTGGCATCCATAAGTCTGCTGCGTTCATAACTGTACAGATAACAACACCTCCTCAGCTATAAAATAACCATCAGCTGTACAACACCTCCTCAGCTGAATAGAAACAGGTGTATTCCTGTATGACACTCCTTTAGCTATACAACACCTCCTCAGCTCTACAACACCTGCTCAGCTGTACAACACCCCCTCCACTGTACAACACCTCCTCTGCTGTACAACTCCTTCTCAGCTGTACAACACCTCCTCAGCTGTACAACACCTCCTCAGCTGAATAGAAGAAGGTGTATTGCTGTACAACACCCTCAGCTGCACAACACTCCTCAGCTGTACAACACTCCTCAGCTGTACAACACCTTCTCAACTGTACAACACCTCCTCAGCTGAATAGAAGCAGGTGTATTGCCGTACAACACTCCTCACCTGTACAACACCTCCTCAGCTGTACAACACCTCCTCAGCTGAAAAGAAGCAGGTGTATTGCCATACAACACTCCTCAGCTGTACAACACTTCTCAGCTGTACACCACCTCCTCATCTGTACAAGAACTACTCAGCTGTACAACATATCCTCAGCTGTACAACACCTCTTAAGCTGAATATAAGCAGGTGTATTGCCGTACAACACTCCTCAGCTGTACAACACCTCTTCAGCTGAATAGAAGCAGGTGTATTGCCATACAACACTCCTCAGCTGTGCAACACTTCTCAGCTGTACAATACCTCCTCATCTGTACAAGACCTACTCAGCTGTACAACATCTCCTCAGCTGTACAACACCTCCTCAGCTGAATAGAAGCAGGTGTATTACCGTACAACACTCCTCAGCTGTACAACACCTCAGCTGAAAAGAACCAGGTGTATTGCCGTACAACACTCTTCAGCTGTACAAGACCTCCTCAGCTGTACAACACCTCCTCAGTTGAATAGAAGCAGGTGATTTGCCGTACAACACTCCTGAGTTGTACAACACCTCCTCAGCTGTACAAGACCTCCTCAGCTGTACAACACCTCCTCAGCTATACAAAACCTCCTCAGCTGTACAACACCTCAGCTGAATAGAAGCAGGTGTATTGCCGTACAACACTCCCTCGGCTGTACAACACCTCCTCAGTTGAATAGAAGCAAGTGTATTGCAGTACAACACCTCAACTGTACAACAACAACCCCCACCCCACCCCCACCCCCCAGCTGGGGGTCCTATGACTGATAGTAAACAGGGGTAAAGCATACTATAGGAAATATTGTCCAGTTGAACACTCACTCCATGCACATTCACAACATACATTATTATTGATTTTCTGATGAAACTGGTCACTATAAACTCTTCCTATCTTCTTACAAATAGACAGAAGGTAAATACTGACTGATAAAAAATTTTTTGTAGATTGATCAATGTCCTACTATCACACAGCATGTCGTATTCTGTGTTTGTAGATTGATCAATGTCCTATTATCACACAGCATGTCGTATTCTGTGTTTGTAGATTTATCAATGTCCTATTATCATACAGCATGTCGTATTCTGTGTTTGTAGATTGATCAATGTCCTATTATCATACAGCATGTCGTATTCTGTGTTTGTAGATTGATCAATGTCCTATTATCATACAGCATGTCGTATTCTGTGTTTGTAGATTTATCAATGTCCTACTATCATACAGCATGTCGTATTCTGTGTTTGTAGATTTATCAATGTCCTACTATCACACAGCATGTCGTATTCTGTGTTTGTAGATTGATCAATGTCCTATTATCATACAGCATGTCATATTCTGTGTTTGTAGATTGATCAATGTCCTATTATCAAACAGCATGTCGTATTCTGTGTTTGTAGATTTATCAATGTCCTACTATCACACAGCATGTCGTATTCTGTGTTTGTAGATTTATCAATGTCCTATTATCATACAGCATGTCATATTCTGTGTTTGTAGATTGATCAATGTCCTATTATCACACAGCATGTCGTATTCTGTGTTTGTAGATTGATCAATGTCCTATTATCATACAGCATGTCATATTCTGTGTTTGTAGATTGATCAATGTCCTACTATCATACAGCATGTCGTATTCTGTGTTTGTAGATTTATCAATGTCCTACTATCACACAGCATGTCGTATTCTGTGTTTGTAGATTGATCAATGTCCTATTATCATACAGCATGTCGTATTCTGTGTTTGTAGATTTATCAATGTCCTATTATCATACAGCATGTCGTATTCTGTGTTTGTAGATTTATCAATGTCCTATTATCGTACAGCATGTCGTATTCTGTGTTTGTAGATTTATCAATGTCCTACTATCATACAGCATGTCATATTCTGTGTTTGTAGATTTATCAATGTCCTACTGTCATACAGCATGTCGTATTCTGTGTTTGTTCGTGAAGTAGACATACTTATGAACTGCCTGTAAAAGCAAAGACTGTTTTGGTTATGTTGTTGTGTATGACTAGCTTACATCCCTGACCCTCCCTCTCGTCACATCCTGGCAGTCTGAGGTCAGATACACTTCCTTGTTTCTTGATTGTGTGTCGCCTTGGCTAACACTGTCACACTGTCATCGACGAACATCATGGAGGCCAACACTCTCTACATTGTCCTGGCTCTCTGCTCACTGGGTCATGGTAAGTCGAAGTCTTGTTCCATCTGCTGGTGTTGTCTCACACTTGTCCCATCTCCTGGTGCTGTCTCACACATGTCCCATCTCCTGATGCTGTCTCAAGCTTGTCCCATCTCCTGATGTTGTCTCACACTTGTCCCATCTCCTGATGTTGTCTCACACATTTCCCATCTCCTGATGTTGTCTCACACTTGTCCCATCTCCTGGTGTTGTCTCACACTTGTCCCATCTCCTAGTGTTGTCTCACACTTGTCCCATCTCCTGGTGTTGTCTCACACTTGTCCCATCAGCTGGTGTTGTCTCACACTTGTTCCATCTGCTGGTGTTGTCTCACACTTGTCCCATCTTCTGGTGTTGTCTCACACTTGTCCCATCTCCTGGTGTTGTCTCAAGCTTGTCCCATCTCCTGGTGTTGTCTCACGCTTGTCCCATCTCCTGGTGTTGTCTCACACTTGTCCCATCTCCTGGTGTTGTCTCACACTTGTCCCATCTGCTGGTGTTGTCTCACGCTTGTCCCATCTGCTGGTGCTGTCTCAAGTATGTCCCATTGCTTGGCCTGGTGCTTTCTCAAACATGTCCCATCTCCTGGCCTGATCCTTTCTCAAACATGTCCCATCTCCTGGTGTTGTCTCACACTTGTCCCATCTGCTGGTCCTTTCTCTAACATATCCCATTGTTTGGCTTCAGGGATGGTAGGGTAGCCTAGTAGTTAAAGCATTAATTCATCATGCTGAACAACAGGGTTCGATTTCCCCACATGGGTACAATGTGTGAAGCCAATTTCTGGTGTCCCATGCTGTGATATTGCTGGAATATTGCTAAACATGGCATAAAACTAAACTCTCTAATTTACTTATGGCTTGGTGCTGTCACACACTTTAAGGCAGCCACTGTGACTGTGCTTTCTCGGATTTTCTGGTAGGGTATATACACCAGACGTTGTACTCCTTGCCGAACACAATGTGATCGAACTTGGTCAACCCATGTCAGTAGGAATAATAACACCTGTCAATCCATGTCAGTAGGAACAATAACACCTTTCAACACATGTCAGTAGGAACAATAGCACCTGTCAACACATGTCAGTAGGAACAATAGCACCTGTCAACCCATGTCAGTAGGAACAATAGTACCTGTCAATCCATGTCAGTAGGAACAATAGCACCTGTCAACACATGTCAGTAGGAACAATAGCACCTGTCAACCCATGTCTGCAGGAACAATAACACCTGTCAACCCATCTCAGTAGGAACAATAGCACCTGTCAATCCATGTCAGTAGGAACAATAGCACCTGTCAATCCATGTCAGTAGGAACAATAGCACCTGTCAACCCATGTCAGTAGGAACAATAGCACCTGTCAACCCATGTCAGTAGGAACAATAGCACCTGTCAATCCATGTCAGTAGGAACAATAGGAATGTCAGTAGGAACAAAGCAATAGCAACCTGTCAATCCATGTCAGTAGGAACAATAGCACCTGTCAATCCATGTCAGTAGGAACAATAGCACCTGTCAATCCATGTCAGTAGGAACAATAGCACCTGTCAATCCATGTCAGTAGTAGGAACAATAGCACCTGTCAATCCATGTCAGTAGGTCAATCCAAGTAGGAACAATAGCACCTGCACCTGTCAATCCATGTCCAGTAGTAGGAACAATAGCACCTGTCAATCCATGTCAGTAGGAACAATAGCACCTGTCAATCCATGTCAGTAGGAACAATAGCACCTGTCAATCCATGTCAGTAGGTCAACAATAGCACCTCAGTAGGAACAATAGCACCTGTCAACCCATGTCAGTAGGAACCACCTGTCAGTAGGAACAATAGCACCTGTCAATCCATGTCAGTAGGAACAATAGCACCTGTCAACCCATGTCAGTAGGAACAATAGCACCTGTCAATCCATGTCAGTAGGAACAATAGCACCTGTCAATCCATGTCAGTAGGAACAATAGCACCTGTCAATCCATGTCAGTAGGAACAATAGGAACAATAGCACCTGTCAAGTCCATGTCAGTAGGAGCACAATAGCACCTGTCAATCCATGTCAGTAGGAACAATAGCACCTGTCAATCCATGTCAGTAGGAACAATAGCACCTGTCAATCCATGTCAGTAGGAACAATAGCACCTGTCAATCCATGTCAGTAGGAACAATAGCACCTGTCAATCCATGTCAGTAGGAACAATAGCACCTGCAACCTGTCAGTAAACCCATGTCAGTAGGAACAATAGCACCTGTCAACCCATAGGAACAATAGCACCTGTCAATCCATGTCAGTAGGAACAATAGCACCTGTCAATCCATGTCAGTAGGAACAATAGCACCTGTCAATCCATGTCAGTGTCAATCCATGTCAGTAGGAGCACAAAAAGCACCTGTCAACCCATGTCAGTAGGAACAATAACACCTGTCAATCCATGTCAGTAGGAACAATAACACCTGTCAACCCATGTCAGTAGGAACAAAAGCACCTGTCAATCCATGTCAGTAGGAACAATAGCACCTGTCAATCCATGTCAGTAGGAACAATAGCACCTGTCAACCCATGTCAGTAGGAACAATAGCACCTGTCAATCCATGTCAGTAGGAACAATAACACCTGTCAATCCATGTCTGTAGAACAATAACACCTGCCCCTCGCTTCCATGCAGAGAACCTTGTACAAGCAAGGTATACACACCATCAACACCTGTCACTCAGTGTGACTACAGCAGAACACCCCTTTACATGTGTCACAAATATCACTCAGTGTGATTACAGCAGACACCCCTTGACATGTGTCACAAATATCACTCAGTGTGATTACAGCAGAACACCCCTTGACATGTGTCACAAATATCACTCAGTGTGATTATAGCAGAACACCCCTTGACAAGTGTCACAAATATCACTCAGTGTGACTACAGCAGAACACCCCTTTACATGTGTCACAAACATCACTCAGTGTGACTACAGCAGAACACCCCTTTACATGTGTCACAAATATCACTCAGTGTGACTACAGCAGAACACCCCTTGACAAGTGTCACAAATATCACTCAGTGTGACTACAGCAGAACACCCCTTTACATGTGTCACAAATATCACTCAGTGTGATTACAGCAGACAACCCTTGACATGTGTCACAAATATCACTCAGTGTGATTACAGCAGAACACCCCTTGACATGTGTCACAAATATCACTCAGTGTGATTACAGCAGAACACCCCTTGACATGTGTCACAAATATCACTCAGTGTGATTACAGCAGAACACCCCCTTGACATGTGTCACAAATATCACTCAGTGTGATTTACTTTAGCAGAACAGCAGAACCCTTTACATGTGTCACAAATATCACTCAGTGTGATTACAGCAGAACACCCCTTGACATGTGTCACAAATATCACTCAGTGTGATTATAGCAGAACACCCCTTGACATGTGTCACAAATATCACTCAGTGTGATTATAGCAGAACACCCTTTACATGTGTCACAAATATCACTCAGTGTGATTATAGCAGAACACCCCTTGACATGTGTCACAAATATCACTCAGTGTGATTATAGCAGAACACCCCTTGACATGTGTCACAAATATCACTCAGTGTGATTATAGCAGAACACCCCTTTACATGTGTCACAAATATCACTCAGTGTGATTATAGCAGAACACCCCTTGACATGTGTCACAAATATCACTCAGTGTGATTATAGCAGAAAACCCCTTGACATGTGTCACAAATATCACTCAGTGTGATTACAGCAGAACACCCCTTGACATGTGTCACAAATATAGGTCTAGAAATGATCAAATACTTCATTTGATAAATACAAAGTGTTCATATTTTTTCACCTGTCAATTCTGATGAAAACCCTGCAATTAATTCTGTATTTGTTCCTATACCAGGGTCTGATCTGATTCCGATGTGTTCCAACCGGTATGCCAACCACTCGGACTTCCCCGTCTTATTGTACATGGAAGGGGATGCCAATTCAAGTGCTCCTGTTTGCTCCTGTGAACTTCAATCAGACAGTGATTTCTATGTCACATTAAAGACCTTCAGGCCAACCAGGAAAAATCTGGGAACTGGAAGCTTCATCATCCACATGACAACTACCACCATGTCCAGCATGACAAATGCAACCAATCCCATCATGTCGACATACGGCCTAGACTTGTCTACTATGCACAATGATCAGGGTAGATCCGACTGTTTGCTACAGATGGGAGACAACACATCACAAACCTGCTTGTTGAGTAACAAATCAGCTAAAGGAAATATCACCCTGCAGACCCCTAACAACTTGTCGCATGACGGACATCTGTATCTCGGCGTGTATGGTACAGGTAAAGTCCCACTATCCTCCACACTAAGTCTCAGTAAACTTAGGCTCAGTATTATTCGTTACACAGCTATACTGAGTGTAACAAACCCTAGTGGAAGGTCGTGTCAGCTAACCTTTGAATGACTTATGACCGACCGTCCAATCAAATGCGAGATGGCTGAACTGATTTAACCAATCAGACAACAGCTACTATTTATTCAGTTTGAGTTTCTGTGTGAAGTGTTTTTGAATTTTCTCTTCCTTGGTCGCTGACACTGATCTCTCAACAAACAAAAATCTGCATAAAACAAAGATATTTTACCTGCAGTATATACGCTTAGGCGTTTCTTGATGACATGGTTACTATTTGCTTATATTTCCACAAGATGACATCCTGGAATATTGACAAAACCGCTATTTTCAGCGACTCTTTACTCACTGTTGTGAATAATGGTGTCCTACATGTGTATCACTCGGAAGCGATCGTGTGGAAAATAGCATTCGGAATCGTTCGAGAACAAACGATTTCGAGGGAAAGTTCAAACGGTATTTGCGAATGTTAACTTTCGCGATTTGGTAAGCTGTGTTCTGATTGGTCAATTCAAAAGGTTAGGTGACGCGACCTTCTACTAGGGTTTTTTAGACTCAGTATAGCAGTGTAACGAATAAAACTGAGCCTAAGTTTACATAGACTGCTGGACACTGAAACATTACTACAAGAACACACTGGCCCCTGGGGGACAGGCCCCTGTCAGATGTACTGACAGTCAGGCTGAGGCTTGACTTGCTTAATTGCATGACCTTTAAACCCTATGCCATTAACTGTGGCTTACAATATCAAACATGGGATTGTCCAGTCTAGGCTCAAATATTTATAGGCAGTTGTCAAATAGCTGAAATATTGCTGAATGCAGTAAGTAAGTAAGTTGAGTTTTACACCGCTTTTAGCAATATTCCTGCAATATCACAGCAGGGGACACACATTGTATCCATGTGGGGAATCAAACCCGGGTCTTTGGCGTGATGAGTGATTGCTTTAACCACTAGGCTACCCAACTGCCCCTGCTGAATGCAGAGGTATAAACAGAACAAACACAAACAAACATATTAGCATTGTCCATACTGTAACTCGCATTGACAAAGGACTGCACATTATTAATGGACGAAACATTTTTGCCGAGTTCTTTTCCCACAGATAGGTGCATGAAGTACTTCAGTGTTCACATCCACAACACTGACTACAGTTACAGCTGCTTTAAAACAACTCATAATATCTGTGAAAGATCAAGAATAACTGTTGAACCAATCACACCAATGTTCACGCTCCTGATGTTCACGCTCCTGATGTTCACACTCTTGATGTTCATGCTCCTGATGTTAACACTACTGATGTTCATGCTCCTGATGTTCACACTCCTGATGTTAACACTCCTGATGTTCACACTCCTGATGTTCACACTCCTGATGTTCACACTCCTGATGTACCCACATCCACACAGTGAATTCCCCAGCCTTAAATCAATTGTCGACCCTCGGCAAAGCTTCTTGATGACTAAATATTTGTGTACTTGCTTTTCAGGTAGTATTCAGTTCTGCTGTCAGCCCAAAAACTCTTTCCTGAACAACAGCTTCGAAATATTAAACTTAAAGACAAACAACAGGGTAGGTAACACAACTTCACCTCCAGGAGCTGCACCAAGAGCACATGAAACAGGTAAGCAGCTTCAACCTGACAGTAATGCATTCAAGAATAATCGGGACACTATACAAAGCAGATGTTACAGCTACACACATTTGTTTATGTCCTTTATATTTTTGCAGTGATGACTGCAGCGATCGTCGTGTTGGGTATTGGTTGTGTTGTCATGGGAATGGCCATAGGCTGGCTCAGCCACAGGTAACTCTCTTCTGCATCATTGCTACAACAAATATATTTATATAAAAACACATACATGCACCTGGGTAGGGAAGAGATAGGAGGGTGGAGAGGGTAGAGAAAGCTGAGGAACCTGTGGATTAAGGACCAAGGGTAGGGATGAGAGGAAGGATAGGGGTAGAGAAGGCTGGGGAACCTGTGGACTAAGGATCAAGGGTAGGGATGAGAGGAAGGATAGGGGTAGAGAAGGCTGGGGAACCTGTGGATTAAGGACCAAGGGTAGGGATGAGAGGAAGGATAGGGGTAGAGAAGGCTGGGGAACCTGTGGATTAAGGACCAAGGGTAGGGATGAAAGGAAGGATAGGGGTAGAGAAGGCTGGGGAACCTGTGGATTAAGGATAAAGGGTAGGGATGAGAGGAAGGATAGGGGTAGAGAAAGCTGGGGAACCTGTGGATTAAGGACCAAGGGTAGGGATGAGAGGAAGGATAGGGTAGAGAAGGCTGGGGAACCTGTGGATTAAGGACCAAGGGTAGGGATGAGGGAAGGATAGGGATGAGGAGGTAGGGGGGTTAGAGAAGGCTGGGGAACCTGTGGATTAAGGATAAAGGGATTAAGGAAGAGGGATCGAGAGAAGTGGGAGAAGGTGGGGTGGGGGTGGTGGTGGGAGAGATCAGAGTGTAGGGGTGGTGTGGGATGGTGGGGGGAACCTGTAGATTAGGGGGAAGAGATCGGGGTAGGAAGGATGGGGAACCTGTAGAGAAGGATGGGTAGAGAAGGCTGGGGAACCTGTGGATTAAGGACCAAGGGTAGGGAAGACTGACTGACTGACTGATATTCCAGCAACATCACCGCGGGGACACCTGAAATGGGCTTCACACATTACACCCATGTGGGGATTCGAACCCGGGTCTTCAGCATGATGAGCCAACGCTTTAACCATTAGGCTACCCCACCGCCCCGGGTAGGGAAGAGATCGAAGTGTAGGGGGGGGGGGGGGTAGAGAAGGCTGGGGAACCTGAACTGAAGCATACATAAAATACACTGCATGTCTCCAGTTTCTGCAATATCAACTAGGTAATAGAATCATACTCATATCAGTGCTAAGCAAACCATTACAACACAGATAATACTGCCACAAAGTTACAAACTTTCATCGTCATCATCATCACCATCATCATCATCATCATCATCATCATGGCGATGCCCATTGCAGTTTGCCATTAACCTATGATTTGTGGTGATCGTGTTTGTATGTTTGTCAGCAACATGCCTAAGTCAGTTAGTTTCAGTTAGTGTTCAAGTCATGTCATCATGTTCATATAAGAGGTTCTTCATATCTCCTGATAACCTCATGTCAAGGCTGCCAAGGTGGAATCATCGGACTCTCTAAAATCTACCATTAATCCTAGGAATGTTCTGCAAGAAATGCCTCTGTCCCTCTGTTCCAGTGATATTCTGCAGAAAGTCCTTCTGTTCCAGTGACATTTTACTGAAAGTTCATCCCTTAGTGATACAGATGAAATAATGTTTAAATAATGTTTTAAGCAAACTTACCATCATAATTATCATAATTGCAGGAATAAACAGTTATCTGAGAAAAGACACAAGAGAGCTCGGATGAAAGCATCAACTCACACAGACTGGCAACCTGAAGCTGAAAGCCACTATGAAGAGATGGATGAAGATCTGACAAAAACAGGAAATATGCAATCCACTTCAGAAAATGTGCAACAACTTGACACTAAAGCCTATGAACTGGCCAAGGCCCCAGTTCCCTTGTGTGGTCCCTGTAACAAGGTCAGTGACCAGGACGACAGCCTGTACGATATTGCCAGTGATCCCAACAGTGTGAGCAAAGTTTTAGCACCATCAGGAACTGTTGACAAAAAGGATGGTGCATATGACACAAGTACACCAACCAGACAACATGCTCACATGGCTGTTGATAGCATCTACGACAAAACTGTCTTCAGTGCAGATTCCAATACACCTGTTCCAGCGTCTGATAATGGTGACAATGTTCCAGTGTCAGATTATGGTGATGAACAGAGTCCAACTTCTTTTGTGCCAAGTTCCATGTCAACAAGAGGTGATGTCAGCAGTGTACTTCCCAGTGTTTCTGATAGAAAGCCAAAGAAATCATTGGATAAGACCACAAGTCATTCTGCTTTGAGACTTGTGAGGCAGAAATCTGTAGAAGTAAGGTCCCTTGAATCTTGTGATACTGGGAATGAAGATGGCGTGGATAGCCCTGATGCTGACAAGCAGGTGTCCCAGTCCATGAATGCTGCATACAATTCTGCAACTGAAGTTTGTGAGCAAGAGTTTGAAAATGTGTCATCACAAAGTTACTGTTCGGAGAGTGAAGATGAAGAAATCTATGTGAATCAGGAGTTTGGCAAGGGAAGCTGCAGCACTGGCAATGAAGGTAAACCTTTGGAAGATTCCAGAAGTGTATCCCCTACACAGGAAGACAGCCAGTGGACCAGTTTACCCCCTTCAAACACAAGAGCAGACAACCAGAGGATGAGTTTATCCCCGTCCAAAACACAGCCTGACAACATGAGAAAAAGTGTGTCACCTTCAAGGTCAAGGACAGACAATCAGTTGGGTTCATCACCTGCGAGTTGTGTGCCTGACAATCCAGTATTTCACAATGTATTTCCAGCATCATCAACAAGCAGCCTCTCCTCAGGTGCTTCACACACCTTGGACTTGGATGATGATGAAATGATCTACCAGAATGTTGCCTTGGAGAAGACCACCTCCACAGCACCATTGCTACACATCACTTCAGATCCTGAAAAACCTTACGAAAACCTCAGGAGAGGACAACCTTATGTCACTGACACCCAAAAAGCCAGCATCACACAACAAATCTGATGAGGTTGTAGTGGTCCTTCTGCCGGGACCAGATTCAAACCACGCAGAAGAGCAGGAGCCTGGAACAATGTCCAAAACACGATCAACTAAAATCAGTCAGAAACATTCGTTTTCTGTAGATGAAACTTCTAAAATGCAAAGACCAACAAGAAAGCACCGTACCCGTAGTGATGACACAGATTTGCTGATACCTCCCAACTCAAGCTCCGAGGAAGATGTCTTGGAGATGGTAAACAACAACTTGTATGAAGGCATAAACAACAGTCCAAGGGCAACACTCAACAAAGAACCTGCTGGTCAAATGGTCAACCCTCAGACAAAACAGGTTCCTCTGAAGCAGCTACCTGGACCTGTTGCCAGTGTCAGATCCTCCAATGAAAATCTTGGTAATGACAGTGACGATGAGCTGGTTATGATGGAGAATGATATATATGAATGCCTGAAGGGGGGAGTGCCATTATTCCCCTTCCCTCTTTCTACACAGATCAGGATGAAGGTTGAACACACTAATCCTAAAAGTCCCTCGGATGAAACTGAGACATTTGCTAAAGAAAGGCCTTGAGCAGCACAGTATTTCATCTTCTGTGAACGACACTGTGACAAATCAGGAGGACCTCGGTGCAAGAAAGTGTTTCACTTTCTCTCATGAACTCACTTGAAGCCTTCATTATGTTCATATTTTGACAGTTTCCAAGACAACAAGACCATCCAACACTGTATTGCCAGCTACTGTAGTACAACTGAACTCACTCACTCACCCAAGCAGCCGTTGTAGCCATCCATTCATAGAAGAAAGTGAGAAAAATATCTTAATCTGTGTATATATTTTTACAATCTCACTAAAGGGGGATGATTCACTTGGACAGCGGCACCTATCTATGTGTGGATCTGAGACTGCTTCAAAGGAAGGTCAAGTGAAGTGAACCCTGAGTGTACTCTGACCTGCAAGGTCCTTGAGACAATCACATATCAGCTTTCTATAATATAAACAGATTCACCTTCATATCTGTACCACCATGCTTTGGATTCAGATCTCCAACAGTATATTGGATTTCAACATACAGAAATCAGATATGCTTGTCTGGTTCACTTTCAGGTAGTGAGACATGAGAGACTGTCAGAGTATTACCTGATGCGAAAGTGCATCAGTTATATGTTGGTGTTGTGGGATCTTCACAAGAACAGGTATCAGGCCTATGTTGGTGTCATGAGATCTTCACTAGAACAGGTGTCAGGCATATGTTGGTGTGAAGGAATCTTCACTATAACAGGTGTCAGGCCTATGTTGGTGTCGTGAGATCTTCACTAGAAAAGGTGTCAGGCCTAGGTTGGTGTTATGGCATCTTCACTATGAACAGGTATCAGGCCTATGTTGGTGTGTGGGATCTTCACTAGAACAGGTGTCAGGCCTAGGTTGGTGTCATGGCATCTTCACTAGAACAGGTTTCAGGCCTATGTTGGTGTTGTGGGATCTTCACTAGAACAGGTGTCAGGCCTATGTTGGTGTTGTGGGATCTTCACTAAAACAGGTGTCAGGCCTATGTTGGTGTGGTGGGATCTTCACTAGAACAGGTGTCAGGCCTATGTTGCTGTCATGAGATCTTCACTTGAACAGGTGTCAGGCCTAGGTTGGTGTCGTGAGATCTTACTAGAACAGGTGTCGTGCCGATGTTGGTGTTGTGAGATCTTCACTAGAACAGGTGTCAGGCCTAGGTTGGTGTCGTGAGATCTTCACTAGAACAGGTGTCAGGCCTAGGTTGGTGTTGTGAGATCTTCACTAGAACAGGTGTTAGGCCTAGGTTGGTGTTGTGAGATCTTCACTAGAACAGGTGTCATGCCTAGGTTGGTGTTGTGAGATCTTCACTTGAACAGGTGTCAGGCCTATGTTGGTGTTGTGAGATCTTCACTAGAACAGGTGTCAGGCCTAGGTTGGTGTTGTGAGATCTTCACTAGAACAGGTGTCAGGCCTAGGTTGGTGTTGTGAGATCTTCACTAGAACAGGTGTCAGGCCTAGGTTGGTGTTGTGAGATCTTCACTAGAACAGGTGTCACATATAAGTTACAGATCTAAGTTTAATATGATTGAACTTTCAAGATGAGTTCATTAAATATCAAGCCTGAAAAGTAACTTCATAACACAGTGTTATTCAAAATTGCCAGTGTGAAATAGGTCCTGAGACAGCTAAGATAAGACTCTGAGTTGTAGGAGGCAATATATTTAGTTTCTCTTGTTACTTCATGTTGTTTTTTCCTTTCATATTCCATGTTTCACCAAATTGAGTGCAATCATTTGTACAAATTACTTTCAAGAGACCTGACCTCATGTTAAAGTATTTTCTTAATGTTTTATTTGTTCTTCCATTGTTTTCAGTGTTTTTCTAAATAAAGATGTGAAAAATCATATACATTTTTCATACTAATTAACACATATAAATAGTACCTACAAAACATATTTTTAACTGACTGACTGAGTTTAGTTTTATGCCGCTTTTAGCAATATTTTGACGGGGGGACACACACTGTATCCATGTGGGGAATTGAACCCAGGTCTTTGGCGTGACAGGTGAACTCCTTAACCACTAGGCTACCTCATCGCCCCATATCTTTAAGAAGATAATCAAGCACAAACAATACTATGGCATCTTACAGTTTTGTGACATACCTGCCAACTCTCATGCCTTTGGCTTGAGACTCACACTTGTATTATAATAATAATAATAAGTTAGGCTTTCTACAGTGCCTTAATCCTGAAAACTGCTCAAAGGCGCTTAGTTGCATGCTCTCTAGAACATGAGGGTTTTCAGTTCAGATCTGAAACTTGTGATGTTAGAATTGTCACGTAAGTAGGCTGGAAGATGGTTCCAAAACACATCTCCTGCTTTGCAGAATGATCTATCTCTGTGTGTGACAGTACAAGTGACAGTACAAGTGACAGGGACATTAACTGAGAGTGTGGACATAGATCGTAATGTCTTCCTTGGCTGATAGGGGGTGATGAGCTCCTGGATGTACTCTGGAGCAAGGCCATTTAGCGCTTTGAAGACAAACAATAGGAGTTTGAATTCAATCGTCTCCCTGATTGGTAGCCAATGTAGTTCATGTCACGCTCTCGCAACAAACCAACGAATCTCACGCCAAACTGGGTTAATCATTTTGACTACTTAAAATCACAAAAATAGGTCTGAATACATTATTTTCAGTGACTTTCCTGAGAAGGGAATTTGTATTTCTGTGTTGACACCCTGGACCCTGTCGGGGCCTGCGTCACTGGGACTCCAGCATCTCAAGCTTTCTTCTCTCTCTGGGTTGGAAGCTCTGATTGTGACTTCCCTCTGGGACACAAGCACTACGTACCAGGTACCAATTCTTCCCAACATTCGACAGAGTGACACAAGCACTACATACCAGGTGCCAAATCTTCCCAACATTCGACAGAGTGACACAAGCACTACATACCAGGTGCCAATTCTTCCCAACATTCGACAGAGTGACACAGGCACTACGTACAAGGTACCAATTCTTCCCAACATTCAACAGAGTGACACAAGCACTACATACCAGGTGCCAATTCTTCCCAACATTCGACAGAGTGACACAAGCACTACATACCAGGTGCCAATTCTTCCCAACATTCGACAGAGTGACACAAGCACTACGTACCAGGTGCCAATTCTTCCCAACATTCGACAGAGTGACACAAGCACCACGCACTCAGGTACCAATTCTTCCCAACATTCGACAGAGTGACACAAGCACTACATACCAGGTGCCATTACGACAGAGTGACACAAGGTATCAGTTCTTCCCAACATTCGACAGAGTGACACAAGCACTACATACCAGGTGCCAATTCTTCCCAACATTCGACAGAGTGACACAAGCACTACATACCAGGTGCCAATTCTTCCCAACATTCGAGAGTGACACAAGCACTACAGTGCCAACACAAGCACAACAATCGACAGAGTGACACAAGCACTACATACCAGGTGCCAATTCTTCCCAACATTCGACAGAGTGACACAAGCACTACGTACTCCAGGTACCAATTCTTCCCAACATTCAACAGAGTGACACAAGCACTACGTACCAGGTACCAATTCTTCCCAACATTCAACAGAGTGACACAAGCACTACATACCAGGTGCCAATATTTTTTCCAACATTCGACAGAGTGACATAAGCATTACGTACAAGGTACCAATTCTTCCCTACATTCGACAGAGTGACACAAGCACTACGTACCAGGTACCAATTCTTCCTAACATTCGACAGAGTGACACAAGCACTACGTACCAGGTACCAATTCTTCCCAAGAATCGACAGAGTGACACAAGCAATGGTACTAGGGACGTATTCTGTCCACAATTAACACAGAGACAAGCATGGGGTACTGGGGACTTTTTCTGTCCACAATTTATACGGAGACAAGCATGGAAACATACTCAAGAATCTCCCCACAGACACAAGGATGGGGTACTGGGAATCCAACTGTGTATAAGAATCTCCACACAGACACAAGCATGGGGTACTGGGAAACCAACCAAATTTATTCCTGCACCCATTCTGCCTGACAGGGGTGCCCAGTGGGTCCGGCTCTATCACTTGGTTAATTGTAGTGAGTGAGTTTAGTTTTACACTGCACTCAGCAATATTCCAGCTCTATGGCGGAGGTCTGTAAATAATTGAGTCTGGACCAGACAATCCAGTGATCAACAGCATGAGTGGTTGATTGTAAAGCAGCATGCTGCAACTGTGTGATGTGCTGCGACACATTGGGTGATTTACAGATGACATCATATAGCTGGAATATTGTGATGATAAAGAACAAAGAAAGCCAATGTTCCTTTTCTTGGTTTACGATGATCTGTCATTGCAAGACAAATTTCAACAAACTGATATTTGACCTTCAGAAAGAGTTGGATGGGAGGCACAATGAAACCTGTCATTGATTCTTTACTATGGATCCAGAAATGATGGCATTCACAGAGGCCTGTTATGATGTAAGTTTGTCAAATCTACTTTGTTGTGAGGATGAACTCAAGAACGTCAGGTTCATCAGCAGACAATTAAGAGTCGGTATAGCAGCAAGTTGTCAATATTCAATATTGTCCGCTGTATCCGCTCTGCCAATAGTACTGCACCAATAGATCTCATTATCGCTCAACCATTAACAAAACAGTATGTACAAACTTGTCCCAGTGTCTGCAGCAGCAGCAGCTTTATGATCATTTCCATTAAGAAATAAATCAATCATTCATGTGGGAAGAGAAAACCGCAAAATTCTCAGGATCACTCAAGTGTGGACAACCTTCACCTTCAATAGATTATTTCGTGCTGCTTCAATGGTTTGCCGAGTGCAGTAACCATTTGGAGAGCAGATCGAACTGTGCAGCTAGCAACTGGCTAAATATTGATGTTGAAGACTCTCCTTCCCAGTGGCCTGACAACATCTTAATGGTCTGGTGATATGATGTTCAATGAGTGTCACACCTCTTGATCGTCAGTACATACTTGAGGGTCATGATGGGATATACTGTTCGGAGTAAAACAACTACAAAAATATTGTTGATATATAAGAAACAGAGAATATATATTATAATGATAAAAAAGTGCACAAAAGAAACTTTTATGCATTAAATGTTACAGAAAATCTTTATCAGGACAAAATCACAGAAAAAGTCATATACATTTGTATAAGTAAAAAAAGGAGGCAGTGTTTGGTACTGGCAAAACACAAATTGTAATGAAAGCACAAACAGTGTCACGTTTTGCTGCACATGTTCTGCAATTGCTTAGATATGACTTTGAAATTTAGATTCACTTGACAGTTGGCCCACTCTGAGTGTGTAACTCACTAGGTGGAAACAATCCTAATTAGTATACAAAGGCAGAGAAGTATACTACTGACTGAGACCTCTCTCCTCAGGACCCTCATTCTCAGTTCACACGGCCTATGAATGTCAACTGTTGGGAATGCACTATTCAAGGGGAATTGTAATTAATTTATATCACTACCCAATTACCCTTTACATATTGAGTGACTGCTTATTGTAAACTTAATGATTCAAATTCTCATCATTGTGTTGATTCTATCTTATATGAAGACTATTTTAAGCTATCCATAAAGCTTGTTTATACTTAATGCATGCATCATCAGAAAACTTGCTGAATAAGCTGTTATACGAAAGAATTACATGATGTCCCTTGTGTACATCAATGGCATCTAATATATGGAAAGTGTTATCTGAGCATGTCGAGTGATTCAGTGAGGATGTTTATATTTTATATTTCATAATATCACAATAATACCACACTCAGCCATGTGGAGAAACGTCAAAGTTATACATTTCTTAATTTGATAGTTTGATAGTACGTCAACATTAATGTGTAAGCAGATACTGAATTAGACCATTTCAGACAATGTATACATGGAATACCTTCCTTCTAAGCACCATAAGAAAATGGATCAATGAATATAGTACAGACCATTCATTCAGCAGTTGTGCAACGTCAATGACATATGCCTTCACAAACATTAGATTTGTTCTGGTGCTAACGCACAAGACAAAAGTTCATTCATTCAACATTTATGAGAGAAGAAGCAAACAGAAAGGCATACAAATAAATATCATATAAAACACTCACGAAACATTGCGTATGATACCAGCAGACGTTGGCACAAGTACAATGATGAAACCACTCATCCATATAAACTCTATTCCACCTGGTAATCATATTAACACCAATATAGAATATCAGTACCACATTTGTTTTTTCATTTTATTGCTTTGCTGAGTGTGTCAGGGCAGCATGCATGAAAGCCTTACATATACCATCCCAGCAAAAACACAACTAGTTACTGCAGTTTCAGCCCAACCTCAAAATGGGTGTTCCGTGAGATCTTCTGTGGGTAACCTGCATTGATACTGAGGATTGAAAGTACTTGGAGGTCGGTACACGGCAACACCTGAAGGAAGTTGGCATTGACTGTTGGCAAGTCTTCAAATCAGTGATGGCGTTTGTTATGAAGGTTTATAGTACGCAGTTGTGAGGTCCCTCAATCAGCTGTGTTCAACTCCTGTTCAGGTGTGTTCAACTCCACTGTACCTGTTCAGTCCCTCAATCAGCTGTGTTCAACTCCACTGTACCTGTTCAGTCCCTCAATCAGCTGTGTTCAACTCCACTGTACCTGTTCAGTCCCTCAATCAGGTGTGTTCAACTCCACTGTACCTGTTCAGTCCCTCAATCAGGTGTGTTCAACTCCACTGTACCTGTTCAGTCCCTCAATCAGGTGTGTTCAACTCCACTGTACCTGTTCAGTCCCTCAATCAGCTGTGTTCAACTCCACTGTACCTGTTCAGCCCCTCAATCAGGTGTGTTCAACTCTTGTGTATATGT